GTGCCATTGTGTCTTTCACCATAGTAATCCCAGACCCCACGCTAGTGCCTTGGTTGAGGTCAGCTGCCAGCCACAGAGATCTGGAATAAACAGGAGAGAAAGTTCTTTTTGCATTTAATTTTGAAGAAACTTTATTTGAATTCCAGGAATTATCTGATTCCTGGAATGCCTGCAAGAACCAGGCCTGGGAAAGGCTAAAGCCGAGAACGGGGAAGTTAGTGTGGGTCTCCCACATGGGGGGCAGGGACCCAGCTACCTGAGCAGCTGTCTGCTGATTCCCTACGTGGAGGAAGCTAGGATTGTGAGCAGAGCTGGGAGTGGCATTCAAGCACTCTAAAATAGGAAGCAGGCATCCCAAGCGACGTTTTGCTGCTGTACTAACGGGCACATTTTTGAATTTTTGAATTTTGAAGTCTGTGAAAGTCTGTGCATCTTTTAAGGATGTGTGTTTTTTTGTTTGTTTCCTGAGGTCCCACTTGTCTCTCCGTGGCTACAACTGAGTTACGTGGCCACTGTCGTCTTCAGGGAGTCTAGTAAAGGTGGTCATTTTTACTGGGCACCTCGTCATGCTTTGTAAAAGCTAGGAAAGGAGGTGGTGGGACAAGACTCATGAGGACAACGCGATGTCTCGCATGAAGGAAAACGTGAGTGATTAATGCGACTGTTCTCTGAGGCTTTCATTAAAAGTAGAATATATTTCCTATAAAGAGGAAATTATGATGATGGTAGATTTTTTTTCTTCTACAGTCTTTTTTTTTTTAAAACTATTCAATTATTTGAGAGAGAGAGAGAGAGAGAGAGAGAGAGAGAGAGAGAGAGAGAGAGAGAGAGAGAGAGAGAGAAATAGAAAGCTCTGGTCAACTGGTTCACTTCCCAAATGGCCACAACCAGCTGGAGCTGGGCTAGGCAGATGTTGGAGAGCAGGCACTCAATCTGGCTTTCAGGTGTTAGTGGTCAAAACCCAAGTGCTCTAATGGTATAGAGCCCTCCATGGCTCACACCTGCTTGTCTTGTTAATTAACAGCCTAGGGGAAAGACTCCGCCCTTCCTACCTCCTCTTGCCCCACTCAAGTTAATTGAAAGTACACCGCCCCTCTTGCCTTCCCTGCAAAGCAGAATAATTGACAGCAAGGCAATAACGCCCCGAGGCTCCGCACACCTGGCCCCTCTTGTCTCCTTATTATGATAGGTTAGGTTAGTTAACTACAGGAAAACTTTGGGCTCTGATAACTCCCTGTCTGCCTGGAACTTTGTACCGCCTGGCTCTCAATCTGGTTGGAGAAGGAGAGCCTAAAAACTCTTGACTTTGGCTGCTGGTGGCAGTGGCTGCTGGAGTGTGGCGGGAGCTGCGGTTACCAAGCTTGGGCAGTAAAGACTCCACCTAACACACGTGGGTCCAGTGTGATCTCTCTGGCCCTCTGCAACAAGAGACACGCACCCTATACCAGGTTCAAAAAGAAGGATTTGGTCAGACAGGCTTGTTACCGTTACCCCAGGTGTTGCGGAGTAGCCATTTCTGTGCTGTCTACTGTTAATTAACCTGTCTAGTGGGTGCTAGCCATCACTGCTGTGCCCCATTACACAGCTAATGCTCATGAAACTGTTCTTGTTGTGTTTGTCCACTTGTTGTCACACCTAACTTTACACCACACAGGTTTAGCTGTGTTGGGGCTAAAAAAAAAAAAAAATTCTTTATCCAAAAGGAAACCATTAACCTTAAAAACCATCATCTTGGGGTGGTGGCATATCAGGTCAAACCGCTTTGTCTGTGGCACCTGCATCCCATTTGAGCACCGGTTTGTGTCCTGGCTGCTCCACTTACCATCCAGCTTCTGGCTTAAGGCCTGAGAAAGCACAAAATGGCCCACGTCATTGATTCCCTGCCTCATGTGGGAGACCAGGGAGAATCTGCTAGCTTCGGATTGGCTGCTAGGGCCACTTGGAGCATGAGCCAGCAGTTTGGAGATCTCTTCTCTCACCTCCTCCCTCTCTTTGTTTCTTCTCGTCCTTTCTCTGAAGGTCTTCCCTTCCAATTAAAAAAAAGTTAAAAACATTCTCTCGCCATGCCTTTCTGATTGGATCTTGCCATGATGAAATTCTCTGAGCCACCTTAGTTTGATGATAGACCAGAAGACCCTTCCAGCCCCAACATGAGAAGGGGCCTTGCTGTGTGTACTGGGAGGAAGGAACTTCACCCAGAAACCAAGAAGCACCTGAATACATAGAGGCCTTGCTGGAACTAAGACTCTTTGCACCTGACCGTATTTGTACACGGCTCTCCAGGTTTTCTTGAACCTAGCAAACCCTAGGACTAGGGGGTCTTCATTTCTAAGGGTTGTGAGCATACCACTTTGATGAAACACATTTGCTATGTTCTTCTTTTGTTGATCTACCTTTAGTTCATGATCTTGCCCAGGATGTTAGGAGGAGATGAGGAGCAGGTGTTTTTCCTGCTCAGTTGGAGGCTCTCTTGGCGGACTCGTTGTCTCACGAGCTAGACCAGCTGAGGCAGAGGGCTGATAACTAGCGACATGACGAAGCTCTGGCAGCTCCAGGACCTGAATCCAGACAGGATTTGCAGGAAAGGGGAGAAAGCTGCCGAGGTCAGCAACGGTAAGGACTTGACTGTTCTAAGGATGCCAGTAACTTGTAAGTACAGAAAAAATGATAATCTGTTGGTTTTTATATGGGACTAAATGCCTCACAGAATCTTGATGGAAATGAGTGAATATGTTGGAACAGATTAAAAAAAATGGTTTATGTAAATTTTTCTCAAAAGAGTTAGAGAGGGAGAGATCTTCCATCCACTGGTTCACTTCCAAAATGGCCATTGCAGATAGAGCCGGGACAGTCAGAACCTGGGAGCCAGAACTTCTGGATCTCCCATGTGGATGAAGGGGCCCAAGGCCTCGGGCCAGCCTCTGTTGCTTTCCCAGGCTATTGGCAGGGAATTGGGTCAGAAGTGGAGCAGTTGGGACACTAGTGCCCAAGTGGTATGCTGGTGTGGCAGGTATAGGATTGGCTTGCTATGCCACCATGTTATCCCCTCCCCCAGAAGATTTTTGTGGTTCAGTGGGTTAAGCTGTTGCCCCGCTGGCACTCCAAGTGCTTGGTGGTTTGAGTCCTAGTTACTCACTTCCAATCTGGCTCTTTGCTAATGACCTGGAAAGCAACAGAAGATAGCTCCAGTGCTTTGGCTCCTGCACCCGTGTGGGAGACCTGGAAGACGCTTTTGGCTTTGGCCTGCTGCAGTCCTGGCTGGTTGTTCTGGTCGTTTGGGGAGTGAACCAGCAGGTGGAATATCTGTCTCACCCCACCTCTCTGTAATTCTCTCCAGTAAGCCAATCAATCTTTTTTTTAAATAAGTAAAAGATGTATCACCTAAAAATACTATTTTTCATTTTTGCCACATTATGTAAGTTTGATTGAGCTTTACACTACAACCAAAGTGATTTCCAGGGGCACACATACTCAATTTCCCCATCTAATTAAACTTAGCATTTTATAGCAGTACATCTGTTTCCCAACAGATTTTTTTTGTGGCATTTTACAAAATGATCATCACATTACTGTTTAAAATATTAGCAAGGACAGTTCCTACATATGGATGTCAATATGTTGAGTGTCTAAGAATCCCCATACATTTAAATTGAGATTTATATTCTATGTGCTTTTCATTGAGTTCTAAATTAAGCTCAATCACGGTGCCGTTTTACATATCACAAAGCTGGATGAATCTAGCAATTGTTTATTAACCACCACTGAAACAGACACAGAATTACAATAGAGCAGATGCTGATTCAAGTATTAACATGGCGAACAGTGAATATGATTTTTGTTTTGGCAATCAAATATAAATACTTTAGAGAAAATCGTTTATTTTGGTGCTTAAGAGATAATTTCACTGCTTTTCTTGGCTGTGATAGACAGGACCTAACTGGGGACCTAGGTGGAACTTGTCACCACAAGCACGACTTTGCTATGGCCTAGGTGCTACCAAGTGCCACTCTCGTGTGTGCCTCCGTCATGCCTTATGCGGGGCTGAGCATATATATAGACCACTTTATCGGGCAGGGAAGGGATTTAAACTCATTGCTTAACGAGCTGCAGGTTCTGCCAATTTTATCTCGGTCTATCAGGTGCCTTTCCTACATATTGTTAACATTTAAAAGTTATGCCTCTACCCTACCTACTAACTTTGTCACTTATAAGCTGCGTGGACCTTTGGTGAAATGGATACTCCTTCACCATAAAGATGTGTTGGAAGTGTGTAGGTACCGGAATCCAGGATGGCTTGGGTGTTTATACAACACAGGTGAGCTAATGATTTAAAGATTTACATTTAAGGCTAGATTCCTCAGATGTAAAAAAGAAAACAATTTTTAATGCAATACTTAAAAGACAACCTAGTACTATGGACATGACTGGAAGTTTGGGGGAAAAAAAGCTGGTTTCCGTTTATTTCAGTGGTTTGCACAGCGTCAAACAGATCTGAACTCCAATCAAGCACTGTATGGAACTGATTTGGGGCCTGGGGGCGGGAAGGGGATCATTCACGGAAGAAAGATGTCTTTTTATTGTTGCTGGTTGAGGCCACAGCTAGAAACTACAGTGGCGATCCTGTTGGGAGGTTTTAACCCTCTTGACAAAGCCTCCATTTTTCTGCGTTTCCGTAGACCACGTTAAACCTAAGCGGGTCACAGGGGCCTGAGCAGGGTCTGCTTCCCGCCCGGCCTTCGGTGCTGGGGCGTGTGTGGAGGGGGCACGCCGCACAGCTTTCCGCCCTCTTCCCTCTCCTCAGCGAGCGGCCCGAGCCAGGCCCACTTCCGGCCCGAGGCCCCGCCCCCACGGGCGCGAGAGTGGCCGGCAGTTCCCGCGATGCCGCGGGAGCGCGCGAAGTGTGTGTGTGTGTGTGTGTGTGTGTGTGTGTGTGTGTGTGTGTGTGAGGGGGAGGCTCGCCAGCCCCCAGAGTGCACCGCGGGCACGTGTGTGGGGTGTGCGCGCGCGCGCCGGGCGATCGCGGGAAAATTCTCCCCCCTTCCCTCCCCCTCAGGGGAAGAAAAAGTCACAAGAAAACTCAAAAAAAAAAAAACAAAAAACAAAAAAAAGCCAGTCAAGAAGCAGAGCCAACATTTTGAAGCCACCACCACCACCACCACCACCACAGAGCCCGGCCGGTGGTGGCTTCCTTTCCGGGCAGCTCTGGCGAGGACCACCCGGTAAGAGCGAGCCGGAGGGGCCACAGCCCGAAAGGCAGGCGGCGGTGGCGGCCTCCGTCGGGGGGCCTGGCCCACACGTCAGCCCGGCTCGGGGGAGGCGGCGGCTGCGGCGGCCGGCCGGGTGCGGGGCTGGGGGGGCGGGAGGTGGACGGCAAGACTCGCGAGAGCCTCCGTGGCGGCCCCCGCACCTCGAGGTGGGTGAGTCGGGCTCCCGCCGGCGGGCGCCCAAAGCCGAGCGGGCCGGGGGCGGGGCCTCGGCCTCGAGGGGGTGGAGCCGCGGCCTCGAGAGGGCGGGGCCTCGCCATCGGGGGCGTGGCTCGGCCTCGAGGGGGCGGAGCCGGCGCAGGGGTCGCGCGGGAGGGGGAGCCCCGGAGCCCCGGGAGCTGCAAGTTGGGCGTTTTTGGGTTCTTTTTGTTCGTTGAGTGCAAAGCAATTACGTGTGTGTGTGTGGTTTTTTTTTTGTTTTGTTTTTTAAAAAGCAGAGGAACCTAGGTGAATTTCTGGGTTTGGGTCCCTGGGAGCTTGCGACGTGTTTCTTTCAACGCAGCAACCCTCTCTCCCTCCCCACCAGCCCCACCGCCACCCCCCACATCCACCCCCATCCACTCCCCCGACCCTGTCCTCTCCGACCCCGGGGCCCTTGGGAGGGGGCGAAGCGTCGTCATTCGAGGAGCCCTGGGCGCGGCTGTTTTCCCCCCACCCCCACCCCTCGCCTTTCTTCCCTGGTCGGGAGGAGGGTTCGGCTGAGCGATCGTCTCCCCCACAGCCTGTTATTTGAACGCGTTCAGAGCCCTGGACTAGTTTTTTTGGGGGGCGGGGTTGGGTGTTTGTTGGCTTGTTCTTTTGTATTATTAGTACGCATTTTGTTTTTTTTTTCATGGTGGGCACTTTAACAACTACAAGCGCTCCGCGGGCCTGCTGTAAGGGCCAGTTGTTAGAAGAGGGTGGGGATTTGGAGTTTGGGAAACATGAAAAGTTTGGGAGCAGAATATGAAGGGAAGAGGCCAAGAACTTTCCCAGCCAAGATCTTTATGTGCCTGGGCTTTTGTTCGAATCCGGAATTGTTTGAAAGCTGCTGGATTGGTGGTTTTGTGCGAACCTGTGGCCCCTTGAATGCCTGCAAACGGTTTTTACGCGTTTAACCAAATGAGCACAGCACCTTTGGGCCACCCTGGGAGGACAGAGGAAGGTGGGATTCGTACGTGGGGAACCTGTGTGACACTCGTAAGCTGGGGGAGAAAGTGCGTTCCATGTGACATTCGCCGTGAAAGTTAAATCAAGTTGAAGTTCCTCGTGGAAATAAGCCCCCGGGGTGGGGGCAGGGCTTATGTTTATAGAGGAACGTGCATTCAAAAGAAAAGTTTGTTTTCCTTCCATCAAGGGCCGCTTTCACTTTAAGAGTTAGGGACGGTTTCTTCAGATCCGGCCAGAGTGTACTTTCGAATATTTGTACATTTTAATTCAGTCTTAAAAATTTCTTTTTTTGTGAAAAACACCTAGGCCTCAGAGAAAGCCAATTTCATGTTCCTCTTTTTTGTTCTGTTTCCTAATGAAAAGCCTTAACTTGATTGGTTGGCTGGATGTGAAAGATGTGCCGTGGCGTGTGTATCAAGCTGTGTGAGCATCTTAAATGCTCTTTCTAACCAGTTCCATATTTCAGCAAGTAGTTCCAGTAACAATTATACACATTTTGTATTTATGAAAACCAGCTCCAGGGAGGCCAGCCTCGCCCCTAGAAAGTTGGACTGGTTATCTGGGCCACAGAGCCCGAGGAATCCCACATGAGTGGTGGTGGTCCAAGCGGGTAGTGGTAGGACCTCAAATCAGGCTGGAAATCAGCACCACATTTTTTTTTTCCCATTTTACGTTAGCCTGGGATATGTATATTCTCTGCTTATAGATCCTGCATGGCTGACTTTTTAACATATAGCACTTAAAGGCACAGTGAATTTTTCTTACAAAATACAGAAGTGGAGCAAAAACAAAAATTGAGATAGTGCATATCTTAGGAATTTTTTTAAACTAACTATATAATATCTGTATCTGGACATTTCATATAGATGAACTCGTAAAATCCCTGCTGGTTCTGGATTCTCTCACTGAACATGCCGTTTTGAAGTCATGGGTATAGATATGTGTTTGGACTTGGTTAGAAAGGGTTTTGCAACATTATCTGGGCCGTTTTATTAAGCTCTTCATAAACCCTACTGCATAAATAGAATTCATTTCCCCGTAAGAGCAGTCACGTAGGAGCTGTGCAGCATTCCTGGTTTTCAGTTACAGGCGGGCAGAGTTCACGGAGAGATCACCTTGTTGAAGACGCTCTACTTTCTGCTTTCTAAACAAGTGGCTCTTGCAACCACAGGGAACTTTTGGGACCATTCACAGTTCATGATTTCAGTTTAGAATATTTACATCACCTTAACAAGTTTTATTAGCTCATTCTCCTCGCCTCATATTCATCATCTATTTACCTAGATTACCTTTTTAATAACCTACTGTCTTATTCACATTCCTACACTACCCCCCTTACATCTTTCATAATTTTTACAATCTACTCAAAAATCTTCCATATAACACTAAACTAAACAAATCCCAATATAATCAAACATACAACCCTAAATATTCCATTTTAATGATTTTATAGAGAGAGTGTGTGTGTGTCACAATATCCTCCCCCCCTCTGATCCCCTCTGTGTCACCTGTGTGTCGACTACCCACCCCATCTCTGTGTGTCTACATAAAACAAATTAACACTCATCTATCTCTATACCTTTAACTACTCCAAACATTATTCCATCAAAAAAAAAACTTACTCCACCATACTCTCCCTCCATCCAAAAATAACCCCCCCAAAAACCAATAACTCAAAAACACCCCATCCTAACTATCGCTCTTCCTCTCTCACTACCCTACCCAAACTCACCCATCATTCCCCTACCACTCCCCCCACCCACCCACTCATACCCACAATTCCTCTTAATCCCCCATTTCCCGTTCCACAAATTCTCCTTTATTTACATATTACTAATTCCCATCCCTCATCCCTCCTTCTCAATCCAAACACTTCCCCTCTCATTATATCTCAATTCCCCAATCTTTTCACGATTCACATATCTCATTTCCTACCTCACAAATATCCACTATTTCCACCCAACCTCTCTCCTTATCCTTTCCCCATCCCTCTCAAACCCTCCACACCCCTCCCCCATAAATATTTTTCCTCCCTACAACACCCCCATTGAACATTTATCATCATCCAAACTTATATGCCTAAAATGTTACCCCCATTCTCTAATATACCATTACACATCCAAACTAACCCGTTACATCATATTATACCAATGTACCTTCCAAACTTCCACAAACAATATTGACATGTATTATCATGTTGCCACTCCACCTCTGTATGAATATACTCATGTCCCGTTCTTGGTTTTTCCTCCTCGGTAGACGGACCGATTCCGTGTTGTCCGTCTTACTGTCTGCGCATGCGCACGTCTCCTCCAGCGTGGCTCGGCTGGGCTTGAGTTCGCTGCCACGCACTTCTGCTCCGGCTCAAGTTTCTAGTGTGCACTTTGCCAGCGCCAGCTTCCCCATGAGGCATCTGCACTGCCACTTCAGCATGAGCCTCGGAGGCGTGGGGCTTCTGCAGCACCTGCCACTGGCCGTGTGCCGAGTGTCTGGCTCCTGGCATATGCGCTTTCTGTGCTCCAGGGCCACCCGCTCCACGTGTGGCTTCCCCCGCTGGAGACTTGCTGTAATCTATGGCGACTTAGGCTCCACTGTTTTGCCCAAGCATCGCCAAGGCACTTTTCTAATGGAGCTTCTCATGGGACACCCTGTCCTGCATAGCTTTCCCTGGTACTCTAAAAGATAGGTTTTTGGCAAGGTCTAACAGGAAATTCTCCAGAACGTTATTTAATGATCAATGCTTGGGTCTGTCAAAAAAGCATAGAACTCTTCTTGGGGAGAACGGGATGTTGTTCAAACCTTTATCTATGCCCTAGGAGTAGTTACTTCTGCATTCATCTGCTGTTCTTAAATTCTCCTAAATAGCCAAGCCTTTGTTACTCTAATCCCAGAATGGTGATTTTTTTTTTTTTACTTTCCATATTAAAATTGCTATGTAATACTATGTAATTTCTGCTTCCTGATTGTGTTTGTATTGATCCATTTTCTTTGCTTCTGGCTTTTCAAGAAAAAAATGGGCTGACGTTGAGGCGCAGTAGGCTAGACTTCAGCCTGTGCTGCTTGTGTCTTTCATGGCTGCAATTCTAGTCTTCAGTTGTACCCCAGCCACACTGTTTCCAACCCAGCTTCCTGCTAACATGCCTGGGAAGGCAGGGAGAGATGGCCTCAGTGGTTGAGAGGTAGGGATGGAATTCCAGGCTTCTGGCTTTGAGGCTGCTGCGGCCATTTGGGAGTGAACCAGTGGATGCCTTGGGGATGCTCTGGTGTGTAATGTGACTTCTGAACTGGCTGAAGCTATCTTGGTCTCATGAGGGGAAGAGGATGAGAAGTTGGATCAACTATGATATTGATACTATTTGAGGACTTGTTGATTTCTTGAAGCAACAAGTTCCTTTTATTGGTCTAGCTAGTTTCGGTTGATGTAGCAGAGGCATTTGTTGCTTACTAAGTATCGATGCCCTCCTGTTTCCCTGTTGATTTGCAGTTAGGTGGGGTCATGTGGCTATTCCAACCAGCAGGCGTTCAGCAGGTTATTTCCAGGTGGAAGAATTCGGTAGCAGTGATAGGACCTTCTAACTGTGTCTCCTTGTTGCCATGTAGAACACTGGCACTGCAGGCAGTGGCTTGTTCTGATGGACTGCAGCACTGGTCCCCTGACCACAGGCTTCTGGAAGCGTGAAGCCATTTATTACTGCTATAATGCCATGTGCTTTGTTTGTGGAGAAGGCTTTCCACATTAGCTGGCACCTAGAAGAGTCTGTGTTGCCGAGCCTGGTCAGAGCCACTAGATTTCTTACTACAGTAAA